CTGGATTCTGTTCCATTAAACATGAAAGCTGAGGACACCCTGAATCATCGTCAACTCACAATGTTAATGTGTCTTTCAAAACCTGCATTTATGTCAAACGTTAACAGAGTTTGGTAATTCAGGTCCAGAGAGTAAAACTCCAGACCGGGATTTTGTTTCAACCAACCAGTTGAGTACTCTGGACCAGTTTACTCTCTGGACCTGAATTATCCAACTCTGAAGATTAACAGCAATCACCAGCCACAATTTGATCATCCACCATTATTGCTCTCTTTTCTACTGTATTACAGAATCTGAAAGCATTTTGATGCATAGAATGACATATTTATTTAATTTATGTGTATGATATTAGTTTTATACATACAAGTGCATATACAAAAAACATCCACAGAAAAGGTCCCAGGATCCAGTAAAAAGTCAAAATAATAACAACAGTAATAGAAAATCAGAGTCTCCATGCACTCCTCATCATCAGAATAAAGTATACGTCGCTGTCGATGGAGGCACTGACTCCGGAGTAATAGTTTAAGAACTCCTCCTTGGTCACCTGCAGGAGATGCAGAGGACAGACGTCAGGCACCCAAAGTTACGCCTCAGCCCACGGTGTTCAGCAGCCTTCAGACTCGGATCGGTCTTCTGACACAAACAGGATGAAAACACGGGGAAGCTCAAACAGAGGCGGCAGCCCGTATGGAGAGAAGAACATCCATTATGCACAGTGCATTAGCACGCTAACACCTACAGAGGACAGCGGCCACTTCTGATGCAAAGCGACTGATAACCCAGAAACAGCTACACTATCAGCTAAATGTGGTTTTGATCAGACCACAGACTCTAAGAATGAGTGACCACACAGGGGCACTGGACAGCCTTACGGTTCAGTCTGCACAGATCAGTGGACTGTACCATAGTGTAAAACGTTATCATTTCCAGGGGGGTATTCCATGAAGGAGGATTTCTTGCTTAGCCAGATAAGGTAGATTGGATTTAAGGTAGTCTGGGCTAAATGGACTTTATTTTCATTCCCTTTCATTTAGCCCAGACTACCTTAAATCCGACAAGTTATCCGGATAAGGAAGAAATCCTGCTTTGTGGAACAGCCCCTAGGGTGTGTCTGAGGATTCATTCTCAGGAATCAAGCTACAAATAGAGAGAGATACAGGAAAGAAAAATGTTTGCTTGTTGCTACCCCAAAGAAAAGGCAGGAAGCAGAGCAGACTGACTCCCTATAGGGGAATGAAAGACTCTACAAAGGCGGCATCGCAGAAAAGCCTGCTCTGCAATCCACATCCCACAGGTCGGGGTCAAGGCTTGTTACCCTAGGGATTGTAGATCGAGCTGTTAGTTTAATTTCCAGGCATTCCGCATCATAACGATAAAGTAGACATCTGTGTCGATGGAAGCACTCACACCTGCGTAGTAATTCATAAACTCTTCCTGGGTCACCTATCACAGCAGAACAAGAGAATAACCAACACTGACATAAAACGCACTGCATGCATGTAGCGTAAACTACACTCCCGTGAGCCATGTAAGGAGTCTCACGTGAGTGTGAGCATGGGTATAGTTGTTGTTTGGTGAAACACTGAATGTCTCCTGGTGATGTGCAGGCTCCCAAGGGTCACTGGAAATAAAGGAAGAGCTTCTCAAGATTTTCAACAGACTGCTGGATTTCAGTCATCTTTCACCCTTTGTGTTATTTCAGCTGCATGCACCCGGTCCAAGATGGCACCATCATCTTGAGTACCACAATGACGTGCCCTTTTCCTCTACCTTTCAGCAATGGTACTGTCCCCAGTACCCTGTTTGACTGCCAGAAAGCACAGCCTGTAATAACCAACAAGCGTTTTTCATTTAGCTCACATCTCTCAGTTTGTGTTGATTTCATTACAGAGGTTAAAGATAAGACAGGCTTCCTGTGTGAACCATTGTGATGCTCTCCCTCTTCACCTCGGTAAACTCCAAAGCATTGTCAGCTTTTCTGGCCTGCAGGTTATTACAGTTTCAGTAGTTTCACTATTACAAGCCAGAGAAGCCGTGCGTATTTGGGAGGAGGGGTGATGGATTAGGGACAGAGGGAGACTGATTAAACGCTTAGCACATACAGTATAGCATGTACTGTACATCAAGCACATAGATGCACAGTAAAATGATTAGTTTGCTGTGCTCAGTGAGTCCCAGAGTTATTGATCTTCTTTCAGATTTTAGTAGGTTCTTCATAGACGCAGAACACAGCATGGACAACTGCCATTACTGAAAGGAAGTGTGTGATGTCACCTACCTTCCCGTCCTTGTCATAGGGTGAGTCAAAGTTATCCAGGAACTGACGGAAGACCTGCTCCTCGGTTAACTCTCCGTTTTGATATTTCGGGTGGTTCTTCGCGTTATACACTCCCTTTAAGTCTTCAATGGTGATGATCCCATCGCCGGTCTTATCCAGCTTTCGGAAAGCCTCCATGATCACTTCTTTCCTGGCATTAGACATGGGCGGCTGTAACCATAAAAACAATCTCAACCCCCTATCTGGGAAATATATGAGAATAAATCCACCCAATGCTTCCCCCTAGTGGACATATGAATAAGCGCTTTGACTGCAGCAGTTGGATATCAGTTTGCTGACCCTGAGCATGATGAGAAATTCATCAAAGTCAATGAGTCCACTGCCATCCCTGTCAAAGAGCTGGAACAGCTTTAGGGCCTCATCTTTTTCGATGTTCACACCATAGTCATTTAAGCCCTTGAGGAACTCTTTCATGTCTAGGGTACGGCTGTTGTCATCATCCATTATCTTGAAGGTCCTGTGGAAATAAATATTTATGTTTTACGATCTCCAAAACAAGTTACCAAATGACTGATAAATACCATTTGGGCAGTGTCCTCAGGGCAACTATGTTAAGCACTGTTTTCAATACCAAATGTACTGCCAGTATGATAAATTCTCCTCAAACTGGATTAGCATGAACACAGCTAAGCAAAGATCTCCAGCACCTGAAGTGCATGGCTTGACAGTCAAACCAGGTGTTTAAAAAATGCCACATTCGGGATTTATCTTGAAGAGGGTAAAATCCTTTCCAAATGAATACATTTTCATCATTGAAATTCATAGTGTAACAGGACTCACACTGGCCAGACCCACCATGTGAGCAGGGGCTCAGTGTTTGGAAGAGGATTCTCACTCATTAGACACATGTACCACACGAAGAGAGCTTCACTGGCCCTGTGTATCCGCCACGCGCCCAGTACCTGCCCAGTCCCTTGATGCCTGCAGACCCGCGTGCTAGACACTGCAGCCGCAGGCGTTCCAGAGGGTCTGACACGGTAAGCAGCTGTCGTTTAGCATCCATGGTCATCGCCCGATCGTGCCGCGAAGTTCCAGCCATGGTCTATACAGTCATGTATCAGCTATAAAACAGTCAGGAAAAGAAAGAGAAACTGTAGGCTACATTTCGAAAATCACAAGACTGCTTCTAGAAAAATTCTGAGCCAAGAAATGCAAGCAATGTGGACTGCTGGTTAAAATAGTCATGTTTCAATATGCTTTCCTGAAAGGTTGTAAAGGGAAAAACCAGTTTGATGGGTGGACATCATTTAAACCGGTATCTGCTTTTCATTTACTGATTTTACGGGAGTATCCCAACGCATATACACGTACACATATATAAATATATGCATATATGTATATATATTTTGTCGTTTGATATCTATTTATTATTAAGAAAATGCTTCGCTAATATGTGGTAATAAGCACCGTAATATGTGTAACGATGACGGAACCTATGTGAACTGCTTGATCTGGCGTCCTTCTAGTTAAACATCCACCAACCGTCTTCATATTGAGCTATCACCAGCGGTAAATAAACGTTGCCCTGTACTACCGACGACTAATATGACTAATTTCTACTTTTACCATTTACTTTCTTACCTGATGTCAGAAGCGATTAGTGACTTTTTAGCCAATATGGCGCAGCACCGACGCCTGCGTCCGTTTCCATAGGAACCCTCAGCTCTGTACTTCTATTGGTCAGATTTATCATCGCTGAAGCGCCGCTGGGGCTATCCTTACTAAAGGCGCACTTTAACAGAAGCAGTTTGATGAATAACGTGACCTCTGTGTGACCTGCTGCCCGCTGAGCTCAACGAACACCTGAGCTCTATGTATGCTTTGTTATCATGGGAATAGATGACATTAATATTTCAGGAAATAATTATTGAGTGCGACCTAAGTCAGGGTTGCCAACTCTCACACATCTGGCGTGACACTCACTCTTTCTGACTCACACTCACACAAGAAATCTTATGGCAAATCTTTATTATTCCATTATAAATCTAAAATTATCTATATCAGAAGCATTGGGGTGGTTTGCAAACCCTACCGACTATTTACAAGTTAATAAAACCGTTACATACATGTAAATGCGTGGGTATGTGTGTAGACTTGTCTGAAATTGAAAGTCTCACTGCAGCCAGCTGACCAAAGTTGGAAACTCCGTCCTATGTATTCTGTCACGGTGACAAGAAAAGCAGAACCTTGTGCTGTGAATATTAGGGAACTAGTCCTCGATCTAAATAATAACACCGATGAGACTGTCACAAGGCTGTTTTTTTTCTCTTTTCCATAAATGGTGGAAAAGTAGGCCTACTTAATGTTCATACCTAAGTAGAAGTCCAAATACCGCACCAACATTTTACTAACGTAAAAGTTATCAGTGACACTTTGAGGGGGCGCAAATACTTTGTAGTAACTCAGTAAATACTAAAGCACAAATCAGATCAAAAGTTGTCATTCCAGGATCAAGGCAGGATCAGCCAGCGGCAGCTTGGCGCATGCGCGATTCATTTGCAGTCTGGACGCGGAGGGGTGAACATCTTCTGCTCTGACTGCAGCTGGGCGGTGCTGCTGCGCGAGAACTGTCCGCCTGTGACCCGCTGCTCCGTGAGAAGAGTATGAACGATATGTTCTTTCACGTCAGAGTCTCCAAAAGTCTCCAATAATACCAGATAAAGTCTCTAGATTTGTCGCTAGTCGCTTTTTTGAAAACGAGTCGCTAAAAGGATCTAAAAACTCGCTAATTATAGCGACAAAGTCGTTATATGTTGGCAACACTGGTACAGGGGCGCCGTTTCACATGTCATTGAGAATGAACGCACCTGCAGGAGCCCTCTGCGCATTTTACGTACCGTAATTATTTGATTTTTTTTCAAGACAGCAGTTTGTACACTTTCTGTTCCGTCCAACCGTTTGTATTTCTTAGTGTTGTCTCAGGAGCTATGATTGGAAATAACTATTCTGCGTGTTGTTTTAAAATCAACATACGCAAATTATAGAGGTGGCTATAAGAGTCCGTATGTCTTAGCTGCAAAACTGTGACTATGTACCACGATTGCTTGCTTTTATTTTATTTTTGATTTAATTATTTCAAAGGTAATGCATGCAAGCTAAATACAGCTATCGACAAAGGATATATTCATGTATATAAACGCTGCTGCGTTGAAAAAGTAAAAATAATTACGGTACGTAAAATTAAGACGTCAGCATAACGTACGTAAAACGTGCCAAGTCTGATTATAAATGACTTTGAGCTTGTTTTTCTGTGAAATTTTAAACCCCACAAAAACCACAACCATGAACCATTTATTCTCAAATTATTTTGAGTTAAAATCCTGAAATATTTCCACATTAGCCTATAACCAAAATATTACGACTTTATTCTTGAAATCAATTAGCTTATTAGATTATTTACTTTTTATCAATGCCCTAAAATGCTGTCATACATCTAAATGTAAAAAGCATATTTATAATTTAATGCAACTCAAATGTTAATATTAATAAACACAAAATGATGCCCCATCCACTTTATATGCTTAAATTATTTAAACTGACCTGCCTACAAATTACTCAAATATCATTGAAATATTTGTTTGACTTGTAACAGCGGACCCATCCAGCCGCGCATCACTGGTGCGTGGTACCGTGAACGAGAATACTCCGGGTGTCCTTGGCTGTACTACAATGACATGACAACACTAATGGTGTCTTCCATAATCATTGAGGTGACCCTTGCAGGCTGGAGCTGACACTGTGAGGACCCTGAACAAACGGATGCTGAAACTGGACTGTGAAAAGAAAACCCTTGAAATTAAAAAACTAAAACTTGAGATTGAACAACTGGAACATGAGAAGAAGGCAAGTTTAGCCTTTTTATTTTTCCCCTAGAAAAATGTCATTTTTATAACCTTTATATTTCTACCCCAAGGACAGAATGAAGAAATAAACCACTCATGAGGACTGATGTCTGTGATTTGTTGGTGCAGGTCATAGAACTTGCTGCCCTGCCAGTGGGGTGGTCTACAGTCATTGGGCCCACAACATTGGGGGGCAGTGGCTGGTCAGGGGGGGTTCGCTCCTTTCTGATAGTGTCAGTGTTGTGCAGTACCACATACGCCATTCTCATCCTGTATATGTGAGTCAGGCAAACCGCGATTTGACGACCCCAATGGTCGTCTCTGTCCTGTCCCTCGCTTTGCTGAGGGTCGTGTTAAATTTCTATTTCGCCCTGGGCTGTGGGTCAGGATAGGGTGTCATTGGGAAATTCAGGCAAGGGTAGCCTCAGTCACCCACAAGAAGGCCATCAAATTGCCCTGTGAATGAAGAACAGGAATAATCAATAGTGTCACAGTAATTCATGCACAGAATGTGTATTATGTTTCTTTACCTTGATGAAATGCTGCTGCGATGTAGACTCACAAAAAATTGCGTGTTGGATACGGAGCCAGGCCGTTTTGCATATGGGGCTTGGGAGTGGGCCTGTTAGCTGATGGTCAGCCTGTTAGCTGATGGTCACAAATCATCTGCAGAGATACTGTTGGCCATTGCTGAATTATTAAAACAACTTACATTTATTAGTGGTAGCTACGTATTACTAGTTACAGGTGGGTGATTCCAAAGTTATGATGCACAGAGCACAGAACAGTCATTACATAACTTCTTTGTGAACAACTTTGTGAAATCCCCTTTCAGTTCTCCCAAAGCTGCAGTGATTGCACCAATCACCCTTGGGAATTCTATAGAAAGAATTTATCCACCATATGTAACTGCATATGTCATTACATTGAATAGCTTAGTGAAGTTTCAATAGCCTCTAAGGTTCCAGAAATGGCATAAAAGCCTTTTTATTCTTAGCATAGAAAAATGACCTGGGAATCAAATACATCCGGTAATTGAATTAGCACAAGTACCACTTTGTGAAGCACACGGCACAGTACTCTAGATTCATTTTTCTGCATCACCTACTGAATGCAAGTGAGTTCCGCTGGGAAAAAAAGTGCAATGCAATACACAATTTCTCAATATGTGTACTTGACTGTACTTGTGTTATCGTGTACCCAGTTTACACCATCTTCCATTGCCGAAGACAAGTTCCAGTTCTTGCCTCGCCCCAATTGGCAAGGATACATCAGTTGCGCTGAGAGGCATCTGGCTGCAGGAGGGGCCTGAGGGCGCGTGTCCTCTGTCAGCCCCCAGCCCACTCCCAAGCCCCAAAACGTCATTCCGTAAGAGGCTATTTTATGGAATGCCAGAAGGGTCAAAACGTATTGTTTTTTTTCCACAATAAGCTTAAAATTAACATGTTGACATGAACATTTTGTTTGTGTTAACACGTAAAAAATGTGCACGTTAACCTGTTGATTTTGAGCTTGTTAGTGTGAAAAAAGCTAACATCATACCTTTAGAAAAGGAAATTACGTGTTTCTGTACAAAAAAGATACTGGACTTATTGGAGGCTGCACCAGACCCCGTGCAACACTTATTTACTAGTCAGTTTAGAATTTAGATTTATTTTTAGTTGGTTAGTTTAGAAAAGTGTGGTCATATCGACAGAATAAAAGGGTGGACAGAATTGATTAATATGACCTACAACTACTGACACACACTTTAAGGCAAAGACGTGTTGTCTGTAGTTAGGAGAGCTGTTTGACACATGTACATTAGGGTGTAATCATTAATTTATAAATTATTAAGTCAGACCTCACACGGGTAAAGAATGACTGGCGAAGTAGAAAAACGTAAAAAAACGGATCCCGGTGTTAAGTCTTCGTGTCTCTGGGAATGACGTATCAGGGCTTGGGAGTGGGCTGGGGGCTGGGGGCTGACTGAGGACACCCATGCATCCCCGCTAAACTGGACCAATGCCATGATTCATTGAGCCCCAAGTTCATTCTTGGGAGGCAAGTTAGAAAGACTAGTTTTGCCAAGACCACAAGTATAATCCTTGAATTCTTGTTACTGATAAAATGCCCACAGTTGGGGCACTACTTCATCGAGTAGCATTAAAGAAGTGCAGTTCCAGCAGCTGACAAATATAGAGAATTCCCTCTGATAGAAATCAGTATCACTCATGAAGAATATTACTGGGGAAGCTAGTGGATAGAAACCTCATTAATCATTAAACTCACTTTGTAGTGTTCCCCTCATGCTCATTCACATCATGGTGGACAACGATGACAAAAGTAATGATACAGCCGCCAACAGCTGGGTACAGGGGACGTAGCTACAAATTCAGGGGCCCTTGACAAAACGACATGTGGGGCCCCTCCTCTGGGGCTGCCATTTTCAATCTGAAGAAATATGAAATACAAGGGGCCCTACCTTGGTGTAATGGTTCTGAAGTGCCTGTCTGGGGTATCTATGCCCTTCTAACGCCCCAGGATAGACCCCCATTTTGTAACAAGTCAAAGCTCAGAATGGCATTAGAATCCTAAAAGTGAGTTTAAAAAGATCTTACAAAGTATTACATTCAGTATCCTGATACCAGCTAATGCTGACTGACCAATCAGGGTTGGTTAAGCCCGCTCTATCGAGTTCACTCTGGGTTTGTAAAACATGCTGACCTGCATCACCGCGTGGTACGGCAGCACTACAGCTATGGACTGCAAACGCCCGTAGAGAGTGGTGAAGACTGTGGAGAACGTCATCAGGACTCCGCTGCCCTCTTTGCAGAGCAGCTACCACCACAGAGTCCAGAAGAGAGCTGCCTCCATCCTCAAAGACCCCACACACCCCCCAACACGGACTGTTCACACTTCTGCTCTCAGGACGGAGGACAGAAGTGTGATATCTAGAACCTCCTGACTTAACTCCTTCTTCCCCAGTGCCATCAGACTCCTTAACGGCCGACAGGAGTATGATTAATGGACATCATACTACCATGCCATACCATACTACCATACCATACTACCATACCACACTACCTCATACTGTAATTTTTTGCACATTAAGCTCTTTTGCACATTATACTTATTAGTATTTATTTTTCTATTATATTGTATCTTGGCATTTTTGTGTGGACAGCAAAGTAAGAATTTCATTACACAGAGAAATGCACTTTTCTACTGTACATATGACAATAAATGCTCAATCGAATACTTCACAGTATAATTCAAAGGTATACATCCACACTAAACGGACTCGATGTAATGCAGCACTTTATTCTGGTACATCACATTTATTTTTTTTATGTATATTTCAGATACATATCATACCAAGGGCAATAAGTTAATCACAGGATTCCAGCACCAAAACAGAAACATCAAATAACAGTATGCACATTTTTAAATCATCTATATATTAACAATCACTGGCAAACAGTCACTCGTGTTAGAATGAGTACCTACCAGTCATAGTTAAATGGAAGTTGAGATATACATTTAATAAATTAATCAAATAAAAAGAAAAAGGATTGTCAAGGTGGCAATAACTGTGACATTGCACGAGACATTTTCCAACAGTAATCGTGGTTTTTTCAGCGACTGACTAGTAGAAATATTCCAGCCTTTCTTAAAGCCCCCCTCCCCATTAGTGAATCATAGTGAGTGTGCACACGTGCATGCACACGTGCATACACACACACCCATGTGGGAACCTGCCATCTCTTTATGGTCATACAAGTTCATGCTGTGTAAAGAGTAAGAGAAGTTTGTCTTGGTATAAATACCGCAGCTGTAGTGCATACAGCGGGCGCCATGGCGACAGCACGGCGTGGGCTGCAGCTGGAGCTCTGGCGCCCCCCCGCCATCTCAGCGGCACCTGTGATTTCCACCCAAATCATCATCACAAGCAGTTCCAGACCGGTGAAAGCAAATGCTGTTCCCACACCTAAAAGTGCATCTTAACAGGTTAAAAGTCAGCTGTTAGTCCGCATCTTAATTCTGCAGCCCTGCAGTGTTTAAGTGCCACAGGAAGGTGGAGGAAAAAAATCCTGTGTTAAAAGTCCACAAAGTGCAACATTTCAAAAACACAATGACTTTAAGAGCATTCTCTACCACTATACTAACAGGTTTGTAGTTGGTTAAATAATACCCATACAAAGGAATCTGTACACTTATGTCACATGAGCATTTTCTGCCTTTAACTGTACAGACCACAGCCTAGTCCTGCACCCTAACTCAGGAAACCTCTTCCTCCTTAAGGCCCTTAATCCTTGTGATGCACTGCAGCTTGAGAGAATCAGGCGGGCAACATGAGAACCATGTTCACTGGCCATCTATACTTAGAGTGGTCCTCAAGGCCGTTACAGTAAAACTCAATGCGGCATTTCCAACCTGTACGACCACCGGCAGAACAAATCGGTGGCTTTAAGAAGAAGCTCATGTTCACTGAGACACATGGAATCAGCTTGCAGACCAGAACAGTGTGTCTGCTGTAGCATTTACCTTCATCACCCTGTTCTGGGATCAGTATTCACATCTATGCCTCTCCTGTGGCTCTCACTGGCTCAATTTACTACGATACTGCATTCGTCCAGAAAAATCCTTCAGGTTTACCAAAACAGTCACTCACTACTGCGGCGTGGGTTGAAGATGACTTAGTGAAGTTACAGTGCGAGTGTTAAGAAATCCCAGAGGAAGATCAAGCATACCACAAACTATTCAGATACTCAGGACAAGGCAGAATCCCCAAGAACTCCCATTACTTAACAGCTGTGAGTAATTATGGGTAATAACGCTCATTATTCAGACATGGATCATTCAGAATTCTTCAAAAACCTGGGAACTGACCATCAGGGCATGTTACATTGCTACAATCAGTTTATTTAATAACCCCATTTAGGAGAAATACAAATATCAGGTAGAAAGCATGGGGCTGACCCAAGGCCGGACTCGGCCAAGTCCATGTCCCAGTACTACCTTGACTGCCTGGTACCATAGCGGCCCTGCCTTGTTCAGTCACCGTTCTCTTCATATACACCTTCACTGCAGATGAGAGAGAACTCCTAACATGCAAAGGGGCAGCCACACCAAGATGGATCAGACAGGCAGGGGCAGATGTGAAGCACGACGAGACGGCGCAGGACCGGGTGCCAACACTCGTCGTTTGACTGACTGATGTCCATGCTAGGGACTCGCTTACATTCAGGGCCAGAGGAAGCAGACCTGAGGCAGCAGGCATCCTTCATCAACAGGCTCAGCACGAAAGCCACCTCATTGAGAAGCACAGCGAGGGCCTACAGGAACATGTGCAACTTCACCAGGAGGACCAGGAGGACAAGGCGATTGGGGAAAGGAACCCTGGGCCCACGCCGCTCCCGAGGGCCAGCTTGCAGCAGATGCCAAACCGGACGGTGGAGTAACATTTTCAAGGCGTCGGTTACTATGTCTCCATGGAATAATCCCACCATTTATACTAACAGGCTTCACCGGTGTGGCTCCCTAGCCGAGGTCACAGTTACCGTGCTTCGAGGGCTGCGGGGGAGCCCAGGGTTTATGTTGAGAGAATGTAGGTGTTCGAGAGAGCAGAAGCGAAGGGGTGATAGAATGGCCGAACGGAGAGAGGTCCAGACACAGCATGCCACCTGTGGACTGGGGAGGTATGTTCGCTGGAGGTCAGGGGTCAAACTTCAGGGTTTCCTGCCCCCTGGCTTCGGCTTCCCCCTCGGTCCGTCCCCCCCAGCCCACGGCTCCATCCTCACACGTCGTCAAAGATGCGGCTTCGTGACGACGACATGGAGAGATAGCGCCCCCCGGAGTGCCTGTGGGGAAGGACAGACGGATTATGGCAAATACATCCGGAAAGAGAAACTGGCCCGCAGCATTGCAGACCGAGACGTAAGGCAAAGAGGACAACGACGTGCAGGCCGCACCTCCCGGACTCGGACTCCAGCGGGTCATCGGACAGCATGTCGGCATTGAAATCCAACGGCTCGGCGTCCTGCAGAAGCTCGATGCGGTCCCTCTCAGGCCGGCCGCTGGGCCGCGTGTACTTCGCCTCTGTTAAAGGAACAGGATATCTGTGAGGTACGGACGGCCTCTCATGGGAGCTCGTGTTGGATCGGCGCCGGAGCCTCACGCCTGCTGCCACCGCCGCCGCTGCTGCTGGTGGTGGCATTGGAAACGTCGCTGTAGCTGGTCTCCTTCAGCTCGGCGTGGCTGCTCCTGTTCCTGGCCGTGTAGTCGTCCCGCTGACCTCCATAGCGCTCCTTCCATTCCTGAAAGGCAGGCCAACATCCGAGAGTCCAAATCTGCCTTTGAACGGTGATCCCTACATACCGAGTGTGTGGACCCACAACACTGTGAAAGTTGGAAAAAATGTGCAAGCGAGAGAGAGCAGATATGAAAGGATGTTGTAAAGAGAAGGGCAGGAAGAGCAGGGACACACAAAATGGCGATCACATACTCTACGTCTGTTCTCTCCATCTTCCACTCTTTGCCGTTTCCTCTTTTCTGGGTAACAGACAAACCAAAACAATCAATTTCAAATTATTATTATTTTTTTTAAATATGAAGGGTGTCAAAACAATGAAGCGGACAGGTCAGTCACCGCGTCGAATGAGTTCTTTGCCCTCGTCGATGAGGTCAGAGGTCATGTCGCTTTCGCCCATAAACTGCTGGAAGCCCAGAAGGTTGAGACACCGGGTTCCAAGGCTGGAGAAAGAGGGGTTGTGGGGCAGAGGCCAGACTTACATTACTGTACACATGACAGGAACAGCCTGGAGGGAACATTACTCCTCACTTAGACACCAGCATGGACTGTGGACTGACCTGAAATAAGTGGCGATGCAGAGGATAACAATTAGCATGGGGTAGTAGATGTAGAAGCCATTGGCGATGAAAGACAGAACTCTCATAGATCCCATGATCTGGGGGGAGGAGATGATCTGATCAGGAAAGATCCCCATCACTACTTACACTAGATGCCATCGGCACAATCCCCAGATACAAACAGCACAAATAGCAGGCCCGATGTGCCTAATATGTGGGGTGGAGGGATCATCAACTACTACCCACACACGGCAGCAGCACCCAAACACAGGAACAGGACGTCAAGCCCTGAGTTATGGTTCAGCCAGTCTCGCTGTAACCCCCTTCCCAGCGTTGACATTTCTCACAGTGTCCGCGGACTCACAGATGTGTAAGCAGTCTGCTCCTTCTGCTGGTGGGAGATGGCAGAGTCCATGTGGATCAAACCCAGGAAGTTGAGGCAAAGGGGAGGAGTCAGACGACAGAACAGCCTGTGGGGAGATGATGGCTTACAGAACAACCTGAGAATGGGAGGCCACCCTTTTCTGGACACACAGGAGCTTGTAGGTGTTGCCAGGCAAACTCTCCAAGCCCGACCTGACAGAAGGCATCTGTTAGCCCCTTCAGGAGTTTTTTTAAGGAGATAAAATAGGTTATGGGTAGCGGTCCCCCCCCCCGATCATCAACATACATGCCGCTGAACTGAAGACTGTAGGCATCAGTCTGGTGATGTGTAGCCAGGTAGTAGTAGTTGAAGACACGGATGCGGAAGACGGTGGAATACACGCAGGTGCACAAGAAGAAGATGGTGATGAAGCACGCCATCTAGTGGACGAGAGCACACCGTGCGCTAAAGGAAATCCCAGCACTTCTCTCGCGGAATGGTGCTCAGTGAAGCTTCCCTCCACCCAGCCCAGCTCCACCTCTGGATGGGATCCACCCAGCCCCTCACCTCTATGTACAGGTAGTTGTAGTCCCTCTCGGCCAGCTGGATGAAGACCGCAAAGAGGGAGAGCACGGGCTGGGTGCTGAAGAAGGTGCACTCTGACCAGACCACGGCCACTGAGAAGAGGGACAGCACCACGGCCAGCAGGCGGTAGAACCAGTGTTTCAGGAGACACTCCCAGTACCACTCTGGGGGGGGACAGCAAACGAAGGCCATCAGCCTGCTCTCTGAAATCTGATCTCCTTTTTCAGCCATGGTTAACCTAAGGTAAGGTATGCTGCTGACAGGTGCTGCTCCACAGGGCCACACCCGCCCACGGCCCATCAGCCACCATTACTCATATCAATGCAGCTCCTTCAGTCCATTTTGTAACCATTTAAGGTTCTGTTGGTTGCTGTAACCCACCATACATGTAGGTGTAATAAAAAGGGGACAGAGCAGGTCTGCTGTAGGGATTGATGCTGGTTTCCGGGACAACTGTCCATCGAGCAGTAGATAAAATATCTTCCCATCTGATATGCAAGCCTCATTCATAATGAACAAAACATTGCTTAAACAGATAGTAACCACCATAAAGACAATGGGAGATCAGTGTAAATATGCCCCCCCACCCCAGAACCCGACTCACCGACAGTGGGGGTGTACAGGTACCGGTTGACCCAACCCTCTGTTTCTGTTGGGGCAAAGCTGTGAACAAACTGCCGCGTTGAGCTGGTCTCATTCTTGGCCACGTCCTCTAGGTGGAGTGCTTGCTCTAAAAGGATCTGCCACTGGACCCGGGTTCGATTGTGCCGTTGGACTGCGTAAATCACCTGCAGACATCACATGAGCATGATGACACGACAGTGCTCCATGATCCCCAGCTGCTGGCCGGACTGGAAGAGTGACCCGACGGAACTGCGCTGGACCACTCACCTGCTTGTGCAGCTTCACCAGACTCTTCTCAGAGGGGTAAGTGTTCTGCTTGTCATCAAAGTCCTCATAGTCATCCATGTTCCTGCCCATCTTCTCCTGGTACTCCACGGGACACTAGAAGAGAGGGGTGAGGGTTAGATTACTCTACATAGACAGAGAGAGACTTTTGACTTTTAAAAACCTCTTTATTAACACAAATGCACAATTAAGCCTTGCTCAAAAAGATAGATGAGTAATAGAAGGAAAAACAAATAACATAAAAAAACAAAAATTATCAGTCCACAAATTCGCCATGCACATCATACCTTCAATACTAGACTTTGATCATCGCAAAGTTCACACAACACTCAGAGAGAGAGAGAGAGAGAGAGAGAGAGAGACATCTCACCTTCCTCAGAATTGTGTCGATGTACTTCCTCAGGGGGTGGTTGTACTTAATAGATTCACTGACCTTCCTCACCTCCTATTTGAAACATGGACATACGCAGGTAAATGTAATGATCTCCTGGAGGTAATTCTTGCCTCCTGGTCACTGCTCCCCACCTCCATGATGTCCTCCAAGCTCTCCTCAGCGTCTGCCTTCTCGCTCATCAGCTTGGCCGCCTTGAAGTAGGTCTTCAGGAGCAGGTGGCCGCGGCGGGAGGCATTCCAGTAGGAGCGGGGGATCTCCACCAGGCCGTAACCCAACAGAAGCACCAGCAGGAACAGCCCCCACGTGTTGGCAGCTGTGATGCCAATTGTCTGGAGCTCGTACCTGGGAGGAAGGGAGGTCAGCGTGGGAGATACGTTGGGGAAACGGGGGCAGGGTGGGAAGCAGGCCTTACCATGATAGGCGCCATTGAGGGTGTATAGCCACGTATATGAGCAGTGAGCCAAAGATGAGCAGGTAGGTGCCGTAGTAGATTGCGTTTTCGATGAGTGCCGTTTTGATCTTCCCGGTGATGGAGAATCCTCCCGAACGGGCGTAAGACTGCATGAAGGGCAACAGGAGCCTGGAAGACGGGCAGAGGCAGACCATGACACCCTCAAGCATCTCTCAGGCAAAGTTGACAAGGCACTGAGCACACATAGGGCGCGCACACACTTACCAGGTCAGACACTGTGAGGTCCAGTACACCACTCGCCAGAACACAGGCATGATTCTCATTGGGATGTAGCTCCAGGGTTTATAGCACGTCTTGGGGAGGCTGTGAAGGAAGACCCACACGCCTGAAGACCCACACGCCTGAAGACCCACACGCCTGAAGACTCTGAAGCTCCCCTCTGACTTAACGCCGTCTTTAGCACTCGCCGTTGCTAACAGCTGCTTATGCCACCACTGGCAGGTCCCAAGCCATTTAAACTCCCCCCAAATTGCACTCACACCAAACACGGCTAACTTAGCAGTCTACATTGTTTACAAGTACCCTCAACCTCAAACTCAAGGGTTAAACCCCTACAGACCATCTACAAATGGAGGATTTCAGTCTGACTTTACAGCAAGGCTTCTGGTCCACTCAGGGTTAAGTTTAAGAGCATTCTGACCTTCGGGTGGGCGACACGGAGGAGTTGGCGGTCGTCCGGTTGGAAAACGCCACGGTAACTGTCACCATGGCTGCATGTTCATTATTGTCTTTCTGGCACTGGTTGTAAATAGTCTGGATGGGAGAAAGGATGTGTGAACGCACACAGAGAAAACTAACAAGTGAGGAAACACGAGAACAGATAGGCAGGCCGGCCAACTCACAGCGTGCATATCTGCTATTAGCAGAATAGTGCTGGGCACCCAAAACACTTAATTTGAGTTACTACTGATGACAGGAGCCCATGATAAAGATCCAAGGCATTATGGGAAGAGGAAGGGAGGGTACCCACCGTGCTGACATCCAGTGGGAGGATGAAGACGATGAGGAAGCAGAGGTACCAGGCCAGCAGCGTGCAGAACAGAACCATGCGCTGCTGCTTGCGAAAGTCGCCATAGCGGTGCAGGAGGAAGAGAGCGAGGAAGAAGACCACCACGATCTCGATGGCCAGCGCCGCGCCGCTCATCTTGCCTCGCTCAGAGCCCTCGGCCGGAAGTAGTTATGGCAGTCAGCAGGAGAACACTGAGCTGTGAGCACAGGGGGCAGAGTCAGCATGGAGCACAGTGATTAAAGAACAGCAAGTCTTCAGCTACTTAAACTTACAGGCCAAGGACTGTGAGCTGGTGGCCTGATAAGCTGGTAGTCTGATAAGCACCCAAAGCAGAAAAATAAAGGTGAAATTAATATGACGTAACTCATGGTGACTAAGAAGCAGGACATTGATATAGTTACATTACTGACTTTTTTACTACAAATCATGGAGAGTAAAGATCTCAAACACATAGCAGCAACCACATGTGCATCAGGAAAGTCTTCCTGCCAGGACGGCCATGTTTTACGCAGATAGGGATGCATGGACCACGTAGCTGAACCTTGAGCCATTTGCGGTCCCGAAGGCTGCTGCATTAGAGGCTACTGAGTTTGGCGGGTGCCCAAGTCACGTTAACTCCCCACAGAAAGTCAACACTGACCTTTGGATCTCTGAAAAGGACCCCCTTATCCCCTGATAAACTGAGGAACACAGAATCCAAGGCGGCACCAGGGCCGCCTCTCAGTCCCAGTGCCGGCATCAACGCTTTACCTCTGAATGTCTGTATTCAGCACCAGTGCATAAATATAAAACTGCTCATACAGCTTTCAAAGTTGAGTCTATTTACAAACCCAGTCTATTTCTGAAAATGCAGGGAGAACATTATTAAACATTCAGAAGAGTGATCAGGAAATACCGGTCAGAATGAGTCTACTCAGACTCCAGCAAAAAGTGGATGATGGGCTGTTTACCAGCATAGTTAGCAAGAAGCTGGTTTGTCTACCAAAAGGGAAAACCCTCTCAGGACCCTAAGAGCACGCTAGTGTTTTCATGTATATCTCAAAGTGTGTCCTGCCTTTATGATTGATGTGCATTCCTGATCTGTATAATCTTTTCAGCAAACAGGCAATTGTGGTACCCGGCCCAGTTGTTGCTCATACTGAGAAACGGTGAAAGACAGTACTGAGGCATTCTGAAATATCCACTTAAAATATACACCAACCCAACCCAACCAACACCGTATAACCACCCAGCGCCTCCTCAGAGTGGGTTTTACGCATGTTTTAAAGGAGACTGCGCTTCCTTTAGTCTTGTTGCAGGCAGGTTTACCGGGATAAGGATGGAGGTGACATTTAAAATTAAAGGCAACCTTCTCTGGTTCACCCCACCCAGACAGAGCACTTACACCGGTCTCCGTCATTAGCCCCAAAGGTGGGAAGTAGACAAGCGCCATCGGGGAAGGGCGCTTTAAAAGATGTTACAATCCGTAAAACGCGATCGCAAGAGTCGCACCGGCGCACACAGCATATCAACGACAACACAAATAAGTTTAGGTACTATTATCAATAATTATTATTATTATCATCGCTCCACCTCCTTTATACGTCAGCCTAAGATATTCAGTTATCGAAACTCTTCAATAGCAGCGGCACTCGTGTCTTACCTACGGTGTGACACAGATAATTCCGACCCTAACAGAGCTCTTTTCTTAAGCTTCCCGAAAAATCCGAGAATCAGGGTATCGCTACTCCGAATCCCCGTGAAATTTGTATAACATAGTGAGGTCGCGTCATATCCGTATCACTTCCTGTTACGCGTACGAAAGATTACTTCCGGTGAGCATTTCAGGAAATGTAGTCACGGCGTGGGTATTTAGCTTATCTGCTAAATGAAAATAATAATATTAAAACGTGACATTACGCATGGTCGAAGAGCTCCCATAAAATACATTTGAAAACAACCAGCCATGTACGTGCAGAATAGGATCAGAGGTGGTGCATGCGTGATACAACATACCTTTAATGATTAATGCTTAAGTTATTAATTACTATAAATGAAAGTTCTGTCAGCCCGTGACTAATGTCTGACGTATGTCTGATACAGAAACATGGACATTGTAGTAAATCGTCTGTTAAATGACTGCATAATACCCGGCAGGACCTGTGTAGGAAATCCACTTCCGGCTTTCGCAGGAGCACGCGGAAGTGGGCGGGCTCAAGCGCATTTCGCATTAACCCGGGCGGGCGAACTAGCGGGAGGTTTAAACGACCACACTTGGGCCAAGCTTAAATAACTATTACAATACATCGCGCCTTGTAAAACCAAATGGAGATGTCACGGGAACGGTAAGGACTGTAGCTAACTAGTTACTGATAAAGTTATGTAGTGTGTGGCTGATTTATGACTCGGTTTCTGATAATAACCGCAGCTCTTATTAAAAAAAAAAAAAAAAGCTGATTATGTTCAATCGCATTCAACTCGAACCATTTGGAGGAGGTGACAGTGATGGCAATGCATATGAAATAACGATGGACGTTGTGCCATATTTCTTCATATAGCGGATAGTACCGCACGCATGTGGTACGAATTAATGCTTTATGTGACCGTGGCCATTTCCAGGGCATGAATGCCTTATATTGCCATTTATAAGGCAGTGTACTATAATCTGAAATGATTTGTGGATCTGCGCACAGCCGCACTAATACCGTGAACCTACCAGCCTTTACTCTGCACTTTGCAATTTTAACTCTCTTTGCAAAGTGATCTATTTGGCGCGTCCGCGCAGCTGCATATGGCGGCCAGCCGGGTTGGGGGTTGGTCATTTCTATGGCGCGTTCTATGGCCGACATTTAATCAACCCGGTCCGTTATGAGTTTATAACTGAGCAAACGCTGTCAGCAGAAACTGCTTATGAACCTTTAACTAATGTGATGGGTTGTCCCCTATTGTTCATTTAAAAAGTTGTGAAGTTTATTGGGGGTGGGGAGAATCCAAATTGAAGGCCTTCAGTGTGCGTGTCCGTGTTGTGTTGGCAGACCCTTGCAGCAGCTCCCCTGTCTGAATGAGCAGTTGGACGGATCCATGCTTTCTCAACACAAACCAATGAAAATGCTGGACAAAGAGAATACCCCCCAGGAACTCATCCAGTGCTGGTCACCCCCCCACAAACTGCCCCGCATCTCAACGCGGGGGAAGGAGAACGAGTTTGTGCTGGGCAGGAGGCCTCGGCGGCGGAAAGAGCCTGCTGGTGTGTGTGCGTGAGAGAGAGCATGCATGTGCCAGATTATTATTGTCTATATTTAGCTGTGTCACACAAAATGTGAACCCAGTGTGGAAACTCTTGAGCAAATTAACTGAAATGGAGTGTTTTGAGGAGAACTTTTCCATCCGTCATGCTTGTAGGTTTTAATACCGTCATCATGGGTAACTAAGGCTTCTCCTTCCCACTGGGCTCACATCTCGTCCCTCCCAGGGCTATCCTGGGACCAGCTTCCTGATGAGCTCCTTCTGGGAATCTTCTACTGCCTGCCCCTGCGTGACCTCCTGGACGTGGCTCGGGTCTGCCGTCGATGGTGCCGTCTGGCGTAAGCATCGCAGCTGCTTCCTTGCTGGCCGGCAGTCCGGAGATGTTTGCCCGGCATGTCAGTTGGCTGGGCTTTGTTACGTTTCCGGGTTTGTGGCGGACAGGTGGCACTCGTGCTTGAGTCGCTGCAAATAAATAATTCAGCACAGATTCACACCAAAGGAAGTGACACCTTTTTGTATGTGTGTGTGTGGCTGGGTGCTGACAGGTTTGACGAGTCCCTGTGGAGCAGCGTGGACCTGTTGGGGGTGGTCCGCCTGGACGCAGCGCTGTCCCAGGTTCTGCCAGCAGGTGTCCTTACTCTGCGCTGCCCCCGCTCCTGCATCGGGGAGCCTCACCTTGCTCGGGCACCGTGAGTCTCATCGGCGATGGCAATATCAGCGCTGTACGTGCAGCTGCCCTTCACCGTGCGCATCTCCCTCTTCAGGAGCTTGCGTGTGCAGCGCATGGACCTATCCAGCTGCATCGTCTCCCCATCTGTCCTCGGGGACATCATGTCCCGCTGCTGCCATTTGCAGGATCTCAGTCTGGAGGGCTTGGAGCTGTCTGACGGCATCCTGCTGTGAGTCTCTGTGGTACTAATGTGGTGCTTCTCTGGTCTGTGTGGCCGGTAGCCAAGCTCAGCCTCCTTTCTGTCTGCTAAGCAGGTCCCTGGCTCAGAATCGGGACCTGGTCCGTCTCAACCTGTCGGGCTGCTCTGGCGTCTCCCCGCAGCCGCTGGGGGACATGCTCCGGGCCTGCACCAGGTAGAACCTGCCTGGATCATCCTTCACTAGGATCCCAGCCCGTCGAGACCCTCTGCTAGCTGCGTGTGGTTCAGTGACCGTGACAAACCCCTTCCTCTGCCTCGGTCTGTAGGCTGGAGGAGCTGAATGTGTCCTGGTGTGACTTCAGTAGTGAGCACGTGAAGTCAGTCATCGGTAACATTCCCTCGGACGTCACACAGCTCGATGTCAGCGGCTACCGGCAGAACTTAACCATGGAAGGTGGGTGTCAACTGGACTTGGGAGGGGGTGGGGCCATCTCACGTGCCATCCCTGACTGACCCCGCCCCTCTGATTCTCCTCCCCTGTCAGATGTGAAGGTTCTGGTGGAACGATGTCCCAAGCTCACACACCTGGATTTAAGGTGAGTTTAAAATGTCTGTGGGTGTGGGTGGGAGTTTGACTGGTGTGGCCTCTGACCCCCGCCAAATGCATCTTCGCAGTGACAGCGTGCTGGTGACACCCGAAAGCTTCCAGTTCCTCCACAGCCTGGCCTCCCTGCGCCATCTTGGGCTCAGCCGCTGCTACCAGATCCACCCAGCGGCTTTGACGTGAGTTGCCGACCAGCCCAAACCCTGCTGCAAGCAGCCGTCTAAAAGCTCGCTCATGCCGACGTGGCTTTGCTTTGTGTCCTCGTAGGGAGCTGGAAAAGCTTCCGGCACTGCGGACGCTGGAGGCGTTTGGCCTGGTGCAGGAGAGCTACCTGCCGGTCCTGAGTAAGGCACTGCCCCGGCTGCTTATTAACACGCGCTGGTTCTCCGCCGTGGCCCGGCCCACGCCGGCCGACTGCAGGGACGGTGCCATGTGGGGGGTGCGCTGCCGGCTCTCCTACAGGTCCTGACGGCGCTCCCGAAAAGCTCACGTTGTGAGGGGGGTGTGAAAAGATGGAGTGAGCTGGTTAAAAGAAAATGGAAGATTAACAGGACTGAAAGAAGGGAGTCGTCCTCATAAACTCGACAGCTGCAGCTCTCCATCTTTGACTACCCGAATCCAGACTCCTGCAAGTTTGTCGCAGGACGAGTGGTGAAGGCCTTACCGGATCCCTGAACTACCAGGGCTCTTCTGAACTGCTTTCCAGTGCAGAGTGGGCGTGGCTTGTGATCGGGCTCCTCCCAGTGAGAACGGTGTCATAGGGCAGCTGATGCCTTGGTCCTGCCGACCCATGATGGGGCGGCATCACCACCCAGTCTGGCTTCTCGTCGTCTCTGCTGCCTTATTGCTCAGACAGGGCTGCGTTTCCTCAGATGTAGTTTTTAAACTGGATTATGAAATTTTGCATTTACTTGTCTGTGACATTAACATGATGTTCCGTGAATTCAAGCATGTAAATAAACTAGGTTTTTAAAAGTGAACCTGCGTGCTTTCGGTCTGTTGTTCTCCTGAGTAAAAACGGCTGTGTTCATGCTGTTTATTAACCAATCACAAAATATTTGCACACAAGCAGGGCCATCATTGTCACATCAGGGAAAAAACACTGAATGGTCTCAGCTCCGATCTTCCCAAACGCATTTTATACGAGCCCCCCACGCACACGTGCGCATGCACATACACAAAAACCCCACACAATCTTTCCACTGCTCCAGAAACTAGCACACTTTTCCCCAGCGAGCAGGTAACACTGCCAGGATGGCGGTTAGAGGTTAAAGTGCATTTGAAATGCATGTCACCCAGTAAATACTTTGTGTTTGAATAGTCCTCCCTTTGTGCTGCTGACCTGCTTTGTGACACTTTGCAGCAGCGATTTGGCATTGCAAACTTTCAAAAGCTTCATAAATATTATAAAAATGACAGGAAAGGAATGATACCCCCCCCCCACCACCAAGTGAGTATTTCACCACCTGCCCTCCACCCTGATTTTGCAATGTCTGGTACAGAATTTGACGTCCCCGAAATACAAATGGCTTCACGGCCACAGCAGATCCTCCTCACTCCACCACATGTTCTCCAGAATCATCTACAGCAGACCTCTAATTCGCTTGCGAGCACAGAAATGGTCACATGCTGTACAAGACCAGAGAGGTAAGGGACTGGGACCCGGAAGACATCCACTCTAAAGTCCTGATATGGCATTGAGACAGAACAGTCATCTGTACCTCAAGCTGGAGCAAAAGGAGTGTTCGCTATTGGCTGGGGTTCAGCTTGGCCCAGGTTGGAGGCAGCACCTCTGAGTTGGACAAGGTGGGACCAAGACCAAATTCACCTGAGCAGCCGGAAATGACGTCTTGGTCAGGAGTGTCCAACTACTTGTAGGTTGTTTTAGGCTGTTGAACTTCAACACGGAGATGGGATACATTTACTTAACCTCCCTGGATTGGCCACAAGACCTGGATTCTGACTCTGTTAAAAGGTTAATTGCCATTTAGCCTGGCAGCCTAAACCCCAGATGATGGTTCTGGTCATGGGGGGTCCACCTCCAACAAGAGTAACAGGAAATAAACCACCGAAACAATGAGCTGATCAAAAAAGGAAAAGCAGAGAACTGATTTCCCCCAACTAAATAAAACTAAAACTAAGGCAACACACACAGATGGGCAACACACACAGATGGGCAACCCTGATGCACTCTGAGCACCTTTTTAGGTTGACACCCTGACCCCACCCACCCTGTCTACAGCACGCAGAGGCCTCGCAGCAAACAGCGGCTCAGTCTTTCAGCAGGATCGTGCGGAGCTGGTCTTCTTCATTCAGGCTGATGGTCGCTATGGCTCCGTCGTTAAATTCGAAAGACGTTCCGCCGTCGACCACCATGCAGGCATCCCAGCATCGCGACCGCACGCACACCCTGCCGAGGACACGGGGGAGAGGGCGGGGTTACTCACACATGCATGCGGCACCGGCTGAGCCCAGACTCGGGGATTCGACCCACCTGCTGGCAAAGCCCCTTTGCCGGCTAGTAGAATAGACCCTGTTCACGATGGGCTCTCGGATGCTGAAGAACAGCCGGTTCTCCTCTGGGCCGAACATCAAGGATTCGTTGTACTCCTTAGTGACTAACACGAACAATTATCACAATAAAAAAAATTATTAATATTTTTTTTAAATCAATAATTCAGCAAAACCCTGATTTTATACCCTAGCTTCCACAAGTACTTAGAAACCCTGAGATGAAAACGCTCACCCGTTTCTACAAAGTCCTGCGTTAGTGGGACATCCAGACCTGCTTGTGTTTGGCCTGTAAACAGCAGAGGATATTAAAGGTGTGACCTTCAGCCATTTCAGCAATGTGGAAACGCACCCAGTGAGAATGCACTAACATACCAATGGCCAACACGTCCTTCACCGTCTCCTCAAAGAGCTTGTTTATATTGTAGGACCTGAGTACAGGAAACAGTGATGGGCTGAACATGACCCTGGCAGACACTCTGAAGGTCCCGCCCACATCTGAGTGTCAGCCCCCCCTCCCTCAAAACCCGATGCTGGAGACATGCTACGTACCAGGCTTTGGATCCAGTGCCGGTGCAGATGCTGAGCCCAGAACTCTTCTGCTTCTCCCAGGGTCCGTCATCTATGGAGATCTCATAGTACGAGGCCCTATGAAGCGAGAGGGTGAGATGAGGTTTCAACGGTTTTCCCCTGTGACGGAGAGATCTGGAAGTCAGGGAGGGAAGAAACAGTGTGGGAGGGGCAGGGGAGGGGTGGATTCATGACAACATGCCCAAAAAAAATTCACGACCATAAAAACCAATGTGTAAGGATTCCACAACAATGATTGTACAACATGACGACCTGTGCTGGTTACACCGGTACCTGGAAGAGAGAGACTCCCCAATAAAGACTTCATTGAGTCCTCGAACGGGAAGAAGGTGAGGACAGGAGACAGCACCATCCTCTCTACCTGTCCCAAAAAAAACAGTCACCTGAAGGCATCATCTGCTTCTGAAGGAGTGTCATCTGTTTTTGTGATGTATGCACAGTGGGGCAGAATGGGCAGGGCAGAAACGGGCCATACGGTTTTGGGCCTCAGTGGAAATTCTATGGGCCAGGTTGTGCTCATCGAGGCTCAGCTGTTGCTCATGCAGGTCCACTGGGGTTGGGTTGATCCCCGTCCCTTCCAGGTGCAGACGGAGTCTATGGCGCCATTGCCACCTGAATGAAATGGGAGTAAAAATGAACAAATCTTAGTGAAGGAAAAGAACTAATCTTTGCAAGTTCTACTCCATCAGAATACTAGAGAATATTGGAGTTTGACTCTTAGGTTGAGAGATTCTCCCAATGCAGGTCCTGAGGCGCAGACACCTACCTGAACTCACCCTTCCGCAGTTTCCTCAGCGCCTCGGGGAAGGCGTGCGTGTAGCTAACTGGCAGGCAGAGATGACCCTCGGATCTTTAGACCACCGCAGTAGGAAAAAGAGCGAACTTTAAATCAGGGCCGGAATCCCATTAGGTGTTAAAAAGAAGGTACAGGAGTCTTCCTTACCTCTCCGGGTCCGTGTTCACGCCCAGGACGGGTTTGTCCTTATCGAAAACCTTACTGGCCGCCAACAGCATGGTACCATCACCTGCCAATAGGGCGGCGTCAGAGCAACCGTCAGTCAAGCTCCCGCTGCAGCCCGTGAAGTCCGCAAACGATCAGGTGGAGCCCGTAACTGCGAATCTGACCAGCATCACGGCCCACATCTCCGATAAAAAAAATGAGCTCATTCGGAAAATATTTATAACACAATATAAATTACAAAACAGATTTAAATCTGAAAGCAAGGTGTCACTTTATTAATACGCCATTAACAAAAGCAAGGGCAAGTGGATCACATTTTAATATTCTGATAGAGTAGTGCTTAGTATCATTTTCTATAATCTGGTGAAAAGATAAACTGTGACCTTCATGATAGGTTCACCAACGGCTATGTAGATGAAACTTCTCACATTTTAATGTAGGTCCCAGAATGCACAGCCGCACTGCCTGTGGGGGGTGTATAATTCAGGACGTACCCACCAAGCCAATCACTATGGGGTTAAGTCAGGCCTCTCTCACACACACCTAGATTAGTATCAAAGTCACAGAGCAACCCAAGAGCTTAAGGACTTGCACACACCTGATGTCTAAAACCAGGTCTACCTGCCCATTAAGTGGTCTCATCTGGAATTTCCAACCCATATGAAAAGTTTCCAATCTTGGAAGCTGACGGACCAGAATTATCCGTCACCAGACTACGTGCATGAAAAACAATGTGGCTGTTACTGGTGATCATTAATGAGGGTGTGGCTGTACCTCCAGCCGACACGATGGCGTCTGCCCATCGCACGGCCTCTTCGTCATACTCCCGCCTGCGCAGGACTCGCACCTGCATGCCTTCCCTCCTGGGGGGGAGAAACAGACAGCTGTGGGCACCGCTGCGGGAAACCCAGCTCCTCCATCGGGCCTCCTCCACCCACGTCCTCCACCCAACTCTTCAATCAGGCCTCCTCCACCCAGCCCCTTAACCTTCTACCAAAATGACCCCTCTCTCTTTCACAGTGAGATAAACACACTTTTACATGTGTTTATCCTTATCTGAATACACCATAACCACTATCCATCCATCCATTCATTGTCCAACCCGCTTATCCTACTGGGTCGCGGGGGGTCTGGAGCCTATCCCAGAAGCAATGGGCATGAGGCAGGGAACAACCCTGGACAGGGGGCCAGCCCATCGTAGGGCACACTCACACACCATTCACTCACACAAGCACACCTAAGGGCAATTTAGCAACGCCAATTAGCCTCAGCATGTCTTTGGACTGTGGGGGGAAACCGGAGTATCCGGAGGAAACCCCACGACGACATGGGGAGAACATGCAAACTCCACACACAAGCGGAGACTCGAACCCAGGTCCCAGAGGTGTGAGGCAACAGTGCTAACCACTGCACCACCATGCCACCCCATCATAACCACTATCAACTACCAAAAAATTAAGATTAATTAAATGTAATTCCTTACCTTGGTATGTAACCTGTTCTCTTTTCCACAACCAAAAGCATTAAACTTGCTGTTTAGAGTCATGTTTGTGTACATTGTGTCTGTTTCAGCTTGCTAGTAGCTGGAGCTGGAGGGGCAATGACTGTTTAATCACCTTAGTGAAGGTGGCTGCCTGTTCTGGTGGCTTTAATTAGTTACTTGCAGGGTTTCTCAGAATAGCACCGTGCTGACCGCCCACAGGAGGGTAACCAAAACGCCAACCCAGCCCAGCCATGCCCAGGACTTACTGTAGGCTGTCCACGATGTGCTCCACGTGGTCAGTGTGCACGTTATGCCTTTCCAACAGCCCACTGTAGCTGGAGCCTTTCATGGCAAGCTACGGTGGAGGAACCAAGGAGGGAAAAACACAGAAGGGTGCTTAGTGAAAGGAAACCGCGACTAATTATCAGAAGAGCCAGGCAACCGACATCCATGAACACACCTCACCGGCATTTAGTCACACAAAAGAAGTTCCGACCGTAAAGACACGAGTTTAGGGGGTGGCTGACATGGCAGAAACCAAGATCAACTTCCTTGTGGCAACCTCCCAAAGAAAGGCTGCCACAAGATCTATATGGATATGGAGGTTTTAAGGTTTAACCACAATAAACCATGGAACTCAGCACCTTTTCTGAGTTGCGTTTGAAGTAGGCTGTCAGAGGATCGGCACTACAGTCTAGGAACAGCTCAACAATTCTCCAACAGGGCCAAAAAAGTAGAATGAAAAACTAATTATATGACTATTGGTGTTTTAGATGGCAACCAGCTAATAAAAAAAAAAAGTTAATTAATAGATACTAAAATCGTATTTATCATACTTATATTACTTACCAGTTGCTTTAGATCATCCTCAGAAAGTCCCGCATATCGGTATCTCTGCAGCTCAAACTCATATCTTGTTGTTTTGGTGACTACGGCCACCTTCTCGGGCTTAAACCTGTGTTCCGAAAGCGCTCTGGTCCCCCAGAGGGAAGCGACCCGCGTGCCGGGGCGCAGGGGCTTCAGCAAGGCGCGGTATGCCATCTCCAGGACAGGCTGCCGGGAGGCGTCCCTCCTCCGGCTCTGCTTCCTACGGGTCACACCTCTGCCGATCGCCGTCGCCCCACCTGGCCATATCTGGATGTTGTGAGAACAGGTGCAGTTCACTTGTGCAGAAACAAAACTAAAAGCGCATCGCCTCGCATATCAGACGAAACAGATTGCAGAGAGGGGGCAGAGATGAAAGCTGCAGTCTATTTCTGATTCTGAACGCGATGGATCAAAATGGATTTGCAGAACTATATCTCCTCGGGGGGTTTATTAAAACCTCGATTTCTCATTCCAGGCTGTACCGGGGTTTGCCTGTCAGCTGGAAGTCCTTGACCGCTTGAACATGCCTGGGTGCAGTTCAGCTGTCCTTTCCTCTAGTCCGCGGCAGATCTTAACCGGAAAGACCTGAGAAACCGTGTGCCGAGATGAAAACACAAACACGTCACATCCTCCCTCGCTCCCCCCCCGAAAACCGTCACCGTCAGCCCCTGGTAGCAGCAGCAGCCAGGCGGCTAATTATTGCCGTCGGGAATGGGAATCACCATGCAGTTGCCTATCGCCATCTTCCAGGCGCCCCGTACGCATGCGTAGTCGGTGTGGCTCGGGGGCGGGGCTCCGGACCTCCTAGATTGCCAATGACCACGTGATATTGTTAGCTGGCATTCGGGTGGTTTTGGTGTGGATACTTTTTATAAGGAGAAAAACAGAAGTGTCACACTATAGAAATACCAATTATTCGGCTGAAGCTGTGCTGCTGGTACTCCCACGTTTTATTTAAAATCATTTACAGAACCGACGATTCAGTCCAACGGCATAGGTTTGGTTTCAACATTGGTAGGGACAAAATAATTCCTCCTAAAAACACACAGCACTCTCACAATATTTGGTAGGGATGAGTCCTTACTGTCCATACCCAAATCTTGTGTCAGTCTCATGACTGCATAAGCTGTGAATAATTGTGCATAACTGTGCATAATTTTGTTTTATGTGTGTAGCAATGAAGTTTGAAGTTTATTGTCATATGTACAAAGGACAGCGTACAGAGCACAATGAAATTCTTACTTGACAACCCCTCCCTCACAGACAAAACACAGGACATAATACACAGAAGACATAGAAGACAAAGTAGTGCAGCAGCAATAAATAATAAATAGGCTAAGTTGCATAATGAGAATGTGCATAATGTAAAGTGTCAGTGCATAGTGTGGAGTAAGCTGCATAGTATAGTGTAAAGTGACAATGCAGTACCACAGTTACTGTGTGTTGAATAGCCTGGTGGCACTGGGGTAAAAACTGTTCCTGAATCGAGTTGTGCGTGAGTGAATTGTCCTGAGTCTCTTGCCTGATGGCAGGAAAGTAAAAAGTGCCAGTGCAGGGTGGCTGGGGTCTTTCAGGATGCTCTTAGTTTTCCTGAGACAGCGCTGTGTTATAAATGTCCGTTATTGCAGGGAGTGGTGTGCCTGTGATCCTCTGAGCTGTTTTCACCACCCTCTGCAGAGCTTTCTTGTCCTGAGCAGTGCAGCTGACATACCAAGACGCAACACTCCCTGTGAGGATGGACTCCACAGCGCACCTGTAAAAGCTGGTGAGGACAGAGGTGGAAACCCCAGCCTTCTTTAGGCGTCTGAGGAAGTGAAGTCGTTGGTGGGCTTTTTTGGTGACCGCTGCTTTTTGGTGCTTTTCGGTACTTCACCAATGATGGTGAAGTATCGAAATATAGTGTATTATAGCAGTTCGAACAAAATTTCAGATATAAAATATATTTTAAATGACAGCAGTCCAAGCCATAGATGGTAATAAAACAAGTTTCCTATTAAGGGGTGGACATGTACAACGTTACATATATGGGATAACACCAAAAACACGCTGAAGTAAATAAAATATAATCATTTAATAATGGAGCAAATGAACGGAAGACGGCATTTTAACGCATTTTAACAAAATAAACAGCCAGATCGAATGCAACAATACAACGACTGCAAATATGGAGAAAAGTTTATATAATTAAATTCCTTCTTATTGCAACAAACTCGTAAATAAAAACTGAGACTTAAAAAACGCCAGATGAAAGACGATAACAGCCCTTAACAATGAAACAAAAAACCTATTTCGAGTTACAGTAAATTTTACACAGAGGAACACGAAGAATTCAAAATACGGAAGTTACAAATAAATATCAGTGACCCAGACTGGACTGGAAAACAAGCTGCTTATGAATATAAATCATGTAGATAGGAGGTACTAAAAGAATCCGGAATCCAGACAGTAACAATGATTTTGAACACTGAAGGCCACTGAACAAAGGCTGGTTGTTCCTGAAGCCACACATTCATAACTTGCGAAAAATGAATACAAATAAATTCAACTGAGATTACTCATTCACTTCAAATATGTACAGATAATAATTTGCTTATATTATTTTAGCATGTTTTTACATGCTTTCAGTTGGTATGAATGGCATTAATTTATATAAAAAAGTACAAATGTGTTCAAATCACTACTCCCCAAAATTATTATTGTACAGGACAGTTTCCTATAAGCACATGGCATACAGGCACGATGCTACAATGGATCATACTAGGTAGCAGGAGATATTAGAATTAAAAAAATCTGTATACACAAGTACTTAAATACAAGCATCAGCTGTTAGCTAATGTCCCGTTAGCAGGTGCTAACTCTGGAAGGCCTGCAGAAGGGGGCAGCACAGTCCCCGCAGGGATCACCCCAGGCCTGTGATGACATCACTGAGATTACACCCCTGATGACAACACCAGGATCACTTAGAGGGACCATTGCACTTCCTGTCACACCCACCTGTGGAATCCATATGGCCATTTCAAGGATTCTGGGTAACAGATGCCACACTGTACAGTTACACTGCTTCATCCTGAATGACAACCATGCTGAATTTGTACAAGCACAGGTATAGGTACATATGGTTTTCATATTTGCCATAACACGACACAACAGTGAAACTTTTTGGGGAAGTTCTTGGGGTTAAGGGTCTCACTCATGGCCCCAATGGTGATATGATTTCCCTGCCAGCCATGGGATTCAAAGTGGCGACCTTCCAGATCCTCAACTACTGAACCACTGCTTCATTAATGGATGGCAGCTCAGTTAATGTGGGGCGGAGATGAAGGCCAACACTCTGTGGGACTCGGGTCACGTCCTCCTCCTGCTTCTCTGCCTGCCCTGGCTTCGTGGCGTCCTCTCCATCGTCATCCTCCACGTCGCGGTGCTGGGAGCGCAGGGCGACGAGTCGGTGATGGATGGCCACGTACAGCCGTGCAGCGTCCCTGGCGCTGGCCTGGACCAGGAAGACGCGGAGGGTGTGGCTTTCCAGGTCGCTGGCCGTCACCTGCAGGCTGCGGCGGGCGGCGCGGCGGACCTGAGTGTGCGGCCACAGCCTGGAATTGAGGATAAGCTTGAGAGTGCCCTGGTGTCTCATCACTGCGGGAGTGGGGTGGGGGTAAGGGGGGGGG